TGGAATAACTTTGATGACTTTGAGAACAAGTTTGATAGCTCTGAGAATAACTTTTATGCCTCTGAGATTAACTTTAATGAACGAAGATGTCTTAGAAAGTTTCTCTGACGAACGAAAGGTTACTTAGAGAATAACTTTTATGTCTCTGAGAATAACTTTCATGTCTCTGAGAATAACTTTTATGTCTCTGAGAATAGCTTTTACGCCTCTGAGAATAACTTTGATGTCTTAAAGGATGTCTTTGATGTCTCAAAGGATGTCTTTGAGTGCAACTTTGATGAACGAGAGTGAGTTAGAGATTACCTTTGTTAACTCTGAGATTAACTTTGATGAACGAGAAAATACTTTTTGATGACATCGAGAATAATTTTGTTAGCTCTGAGAATAACTTTTATGCCTCTGAGATTAACTTTAATGAACGAAGATGTCTTAGAAAGTTTCTCTGATGAACGAAAGGTTACTTAGAGAATAACATTTTGATGACTGAGATTAACTTTTTGATGACTCTGAGAATAACTTTGAGGATGCGAGTAAATTTTTGAGTGTTTGAGAGTGTCTTTTGATATCTCGAAGAGTCCCCTTGAAGTCTTAAAGGATGTCTTTGATGTCTCAAAGGATGTCTTTGAGTGCAACTTTGATGTCTTTGAGTAAGTCCTTGATGTCTCGAAGAGTGTCTTTGACTATATTTCTTACTTAACGCCATATAATTTTAGTTAGGAACAATGATGAATATGACTATTTTAGCGAAGTGAAAGGTTACTTTAGTTAAGAACAGTGTTGGAAAGAGCCAACACATGACTATTTCAGATGAGAGAAGTGATATTTCAGTTAAGAAATGACAGGGAAACATGATGAAGTAACTATTTTTTAGTTGACTGATGAATACTTTTAGTTAAGGAAAAAGACAAAACATGACGAGGGAGACTATTTTTGTGCTCCCCAAAGTATAATGTCAGTTAAGAACAGCGATGAAAGATATCTTTGGTTATTTTTTCTTACTTGACAAAACATAATTTTAGTTAGGAACAATGATGATGAATATGACTTTTTCTGTTGATTGATGGATAATTTTAGTTATGAAATGACAATGAAACATGAAGAACACGGTTATTTTCTGATGACTAGGGAATAAGTTTAGTTATGAACAGTGTTGGAAAGATTCCTTTGACTATTTTTTGGTTGATTGGTTAATAAGTTTAGTTGAGAAATGAGGAAAGTGACTATGTTTTAGTTGATTGGCGAAAGATTTTTAGTTAAGAAGTTACAAGAAAGGTTTGTCTTTGTAAATTTGGAACTGAATAAAGTGTAGATTTGTTTAAGAACGGGGTTGGTAGAACTATTAAGTTGACTACGAGAATTACTTTGACATAGTTTTGCAAATAAAAACTTGGTGACTAAAATTGTTGAGGGAACTGTAGTGCAGTATAATATTATTTGACAAAGAACTAGTTAGTGAATGGAAGAAACAAATTGGTTTAAAGAAACAAAGAACATAAATAAATTGAGGTTAAGTAGGGGAATGAACACAGTGAACATACGGTGAACACAGAAAACATGTAAGAAAAAGTTGATGAATAGAGTGAACATGCAGGGAATATGAACTTATAGAGAATATGAAGACATGATAAGGAACATAGGGAATACAAGAATGAACACTGAACATGTGAAGAACAAGCTAAGAACATTGAGAACATGAATATTGAGTATAAAAGTTATACAGAGAACATATGATGTACATGAAAACATGACAAAGAACATAGTGAACATACGGGGAAAATGGTAGAAAAAATTTGAACTGAGCATGCTGTGAACATTTGTAGAACATGGAATGAACACAGAAAACATGGAAAAAATGTGAAGAACACAGCTGAATATAGAGAAAATATGCAAATACAGTATGATGATTATTGAAGGTTTGGATACGTTGGGGATGAGATAATTAAGGTTGGGGTAAGGTGACTACTCTGATAAACAGATAGGCTGGAGAGGGACTTGATTGGATATAATCATGTTCGATGATCTAAGACTGAGGAAATGGAGCTTGGCTAATGTCCAGATTAATTTTACTACGTTAGAAATAAGGTGATCTTAAATCTCAAGGTGATTTAGTTGGAAAATAAAGAACTTGTACAAAATGAACTAAGTTGGGGAACGAGAGCTGAAACTTGATAACTGAACTGGTTTTTATTTACTTACTATGTCTGAAAATGTAGTTGGGTGTTTTAATCTTAGGGGGATTTGGACTGATAGTAATGAATTTACAAGGAGTGAACTTGGACAGAGGACAAGAGCTAGAGTTTTATAATTGTTTTGATCTTATTTACTATGTCTGAAAATACAGAGGGTAGAAATTTCAGGGGAATTGATGGGTTATTTACAAATATACGAGAGAGAACTAAGGTGGGGACGAGAGCTGGAGCTTAGTAACTGACTTGATCTTATTTACTACGACTGAAATATGATCTGTTTAAAAATTTCAGGGGGATTGGACTTAGTAGCGAAAATGTGTCTCTGTCAAATTTGGGGTTATTTCTTTAAGCTGGACTCTGACTTGATCTTAATTGAAATATGACTGTTTAAAATTTAATTGGACTCTGAATTTGAAATGGACTCTGATTAAAACTGGACTCTGATGAATTTTGCTCTCAAAGTAGACTCTGACGAATTTCTGTTGATAATTGGATTACAGGACTCTGATGAAATTTGAGCTTAAAACTGTCTCTGACTAATTTTGCTCTCAAAGTAGACTCTGGCGAATTTCTGTTGATAATTGGACTCTGATGAAATATGAGCTTAAAACTGTCTCTGACTAATTTTGCTCACAAAGTGAACTCTGTTCATTTTTAGGTATAAAATGGTCTCTGACGAAATTCTGTCTATAACTGGGCTCTGTTCAATTTTGGTCTTTACAGGTGAAATAGCCGTAAATGGATATAAAACTAAATGTTATGGCTAAGTTGTCTGTTTTCCTTAACAAAACATCTAAGACAATATTCTCTGAAAATGGTCTTTTTTACAAATTCGGTCATAAACATATAAATAAACTTCTATGATTATTTGAAACTCTGAAAAATAGCTGTAAGGAAATAGGAAGGAATAATATGAAGAGAGAGAGAGAGAGAGAGGGACGGTCCAGATATTATGGAGAAGATAAGATAAGATAAGAGGTAACCTGCATGCGGCGTCTGGCTGGCCGGTCTAAGGTAAACACAGGTGGGCCACAGATTGTGAGGTAAGGGGGGGAGGGTAAGAATCCCATAAGAACTCTTAGCAAAACTTGTATGACATTATTTTCATCATAAGAACTCTAAACAAAACTCGTATGACATTATTTCATAATAAGAACTTTTAACAAACTCGTATGATATTATTTTCATTATAAGAACTTTAACAACTTCTAAAATCTGTGACTGACAAAAAATTACCTGAAAAACCCTGGCTCATAAACACGAATTTGAATTTCTCCCATAAGAACTCTTAACAAAATTCAAAAGTCTCGGAAATTATTTTCATCGTAAGAACTTTTAACAACTTCTAAAATCTGTGACTGACAAAATTTGCCTGAAAACCCTGACTCACACGCAGGATATTGGACCTCAAAACCCTGGCTCACACGAGTGATTTTGGACCTGAAAACCATGGCTCACACAGGTAACTTTTTCCCCTTTGGACCTGAAAACCATGGCTCACACAGGTAACTTTTTCCCCAAGAAAAAAAGTTACCTGTGAGTCTTACTCCCTACTACTGCTGGGTAGTATTAGTGCTTGGTGGTGTTGGTGTTGGGTGGTGTTGGTGCTGGGTGGTGTTGGTGCTGGGTGGTGTGGGTGCTGGGTGGTGTTGGTGTTGGGTGGTGTTGGTGCTGGGTGGTGTTGATGTTGGGTGGTGTTGGTGCTGGGTGGTGTTGGTGTTGGGTGGTGTTGGTGCTGGGTGGTGTTGGTGCTGGGTGGTGTTGGTGTTGGGTGGTGTTGGTGCTGGGTGGTGTTGGTGCTGGGTGGTGTGGGTGCTGGGTAGTGTTGGTGCTGAGTGGTGTTGGTGTTGGGTTGTGTTGGTGCTGGGTGGTGTGGGTGCTGGGTGGTGGTGGTGCTGGGTAGTGTTGGTGCTGGGTGGTGTGGGTGCTGGGGGGTGTTGGTGGTCTGTGGTGTTGGTGTTGGGTGGTGTTGGTGTTGGGTCGTGTTGGTGCTGGGTGGTGTTGGTGCTGGGTGGTGTTGGTGCTGGGTGGTGTTGGTGCTGGGTGGTGTTGGTGCTGAAGGTGGTGTTAGTGCTGGGTGGTGTTAGTGCTGGGTGGTGTTGGTGCTGGGTGGTGTTGGTGCTGGGTGGTGTTGGTGCTGGGTGGTGTTGGTGCTGGGTGGTGTTGGTGCTGGGTGGTGTTAGTGCTGGGTGGTGTTAGTGCTGGGTGGTGTTGGTGCTGGGTGGTGTTGGTGCTGGGTGGTGTTGGTGCTGGGTGGTGTTGGTGCTGGGTGGTGTTAGTGCTGGGTGGTGTTGGTGCTGGGTGGTGTTGGTGCTGGGTGGTGTTGGTGGTGGGTGGTGTTGGTGCTGGGTGGTGTTGGTGCTGGGTGGTGTTGGTGCTGGGTGGTGTTGGTGCTGGGTGGTGTTAGTGCTGGGTGGTGTTAGTGCTGGGTGGTGTTGGTGCTGGGTGGTGTTGGTGCTGGGTGGTGTTGGTGCTGGGTGGTGTTGGTGCTGGGTGGTGTTAGTGCTGGGTGGTGTTGGTGTTGGGTGGTGTTGGTGCTGGGTGGTGTTGGTGCTGGGTGGTGTTGGTGTTGGGTGGTGTTGGTGCTGTGTGTGTACCTGCTGAGTGTACCTAACCTCCTTCCTAACTTTGCAGCACCTTTAATATTTTTTAGTGCATGATTTAAAATTTCATGGTAATCAGATGCCTATTAACATGGTTTTAAGAGTTGAAAAGAAAATGTTTAGCTACAGCATTAGAATATTTTTACGAATGCAGCATTGACAAAAATACTCATGAATATCACATCTAATACAGAATAAATAACGTTTATACACTTAAAATTTTTATTTCCTGATGGTGATGTAACACCGGAGACCAAGTCTTCCCGCCACTGTGCGTCTCAGTATCAGTTGTGTTGCTTATAAGTCAATGATAATTTCTTACCTGTACATTAACTCTTATCCTAAGCTGAACATGCCAAGCATTTGTACAGTATATTATTTCTCTCGTGTACCTTATATTTCCTTATTTCTGGTTAAGGCAAATAATGTTTATCTCTAAATTTTGCCAAGGTTAAATTCAATATCCAAACATTCTAATATATTATTCATCTTCAAGAAAACCAATTCTTGAACAGTTCATGTTTTTGGAGTCATTTTAATTATATATTTTAACACTAATCATAAAAGGTGCTCAAATTCTTTGTATACAAGGGGAATCACAAATTTAATCAGACAAGGAGCCCTTCCACTGCTTTGCAATGGTTAATGGTTAGGCAAATTCTCAAAAAATCATGGACCCACAAATGCTCAGTAAACAAATCAACTCATAAACAATTTAGCTGTAATGTGAAATAACAGTGTATAATGGAAAAGACTGCTATACGTATATAATAATGAAAGCAGTTTAGAAATATGTAGTAGCGGGTAGCTCAAAACTCTCAGAAAACCTCTTCACATATTGCAGTGTGTATTGCGTCGCAAGAAACATCATCAAAATAGAAGAAGCTGTTTTTGTCGAGAATGACACAGTTGGAGTTGGACCCGCCAGAGGGCTCCTGCACCCCATTAGAATAGGCCCAGAAAGGTGTTCCACGATTCACCACACTTCCGTCCAGCCATCGGAAATCATCTTCGGCTTGGAAGTCGGTGGCACCTATCCAATAAGTATGATGGTTCAGACCTGTGGACGGCAGCAAGATAGAAATCAATTGCTGAAACATTTAAATATACATTAAAAGAACATGTATATTTTTTATACAGTTATAAAAATGGAACATAATAAACGTGATGATAATCTTTGCTAAAAATTGTATTGGCAGGTATGTCTAGTAAATGTTTGTTATGCATTTATATATACTTTTAACAGCTCTATAACAAATGTTCAAGAAATATGAAATATTTCATTCAAAATTATCTTCAGTACTAGAAATGTTAGTCAAATATCCCCAGTTTGCTAAGTGTAGGTAGTAAACGTGAGCAATTGTCTACCTACCTACCTACCTGTTCAAATCTACCTACCTGTTGATGATTCTGAGGATCAACATGCCCATGGCCCAATCTCTGACCAGGCCTCCTGTTGCTAGTCTGATTAACCAGGCAGCTTGCAGCGTGATGTACTAGTCAAAACCTGGTTGATCAGGTATCCTTTAAAGGTGCTTGTCGAGTTCTCTTTTGAAACCTGCGAGAGGTCGGCCAATTATTCCCTGAATGTTTAAAGGAAAGTGTTGGAAAGTCTTGGGCCTTAGATGTTGATCGAGTTCTCTCTCACCGTGCCTATTGCATCTTTGCTTTCCAGTGAGGTATTGTGCATTTCTTGCCATGCCTTCTAGTCTCACGTGGTATTATTTGTGTGCGTAGATTTGGAACCAGTTCTTCTAATATTTACCAATCGTAACTTGTGTGTTTTCCCGCCTGCCCTCTAGGAATACAGACTTAACATTTTTAAATGGTATATGGGGAATTTCCCAACAAGTAATTCTTAATATTATTATTAGAGGATTAAATGGACTGTATTAAAATTAGTTACTTGTCAGGTATTTCCACTTCTATAAAAATTTTGGGGGTAGACTTAATAATGCTAAATCTACCTTGTTATTCAAATATAATGGAATATTCAATGGTAAATATTTTTAATTAAATAATTTGTTATAGAGTTAGTAAACTAACTACAAATATAACAAATTTGCTTTAAATGGCTTAGCTGTCGAGCCGAATAGTAGGGATACACCTTATAATCCTCCGAAAGTCAATCAAATATCTAGCGTCATCGTGGTAGCGTGGTTAACACGTGAATCACAAGTTGAGGGAGCTGGCTCTCGGTGGTATCTCTCCACGCTATGGGAAAATATACACTCTAACTACGATAAGGTTAATATATATTCAGTTAATCTCCATGAAAAGGGATTAAGTGCCTAAAGGGGGCGTAAACTTACTTTGGTCATTTGATTCGTCTTGCGGCGTAACGGCCGGTTATTCTAAATGATAATTAAAGCCATAAAATCTTATCTGAGAAGTAACCAGCGACCGAACGCTGTTTCCTTTGTTGTAGGAAGCCAGCAGCAACGTCTGGGAGTCGTAAGTAGACGGATGATCCAAAATAATGCGATGCTAATATGCTTGCATCCACAGGGATTCGCTCGAGATGTTGACGATCTTAGCCTTGGTGCGCAAGTGGCGCTCCGGCTTCCTCCTCTCTCCGTGTATGCCCGGGAAATAAGTCACGTTATTCAATTTGGTTCTGTGCTGTACCAAGACGGCATCGACGTCGTTTCATGTCTTAATAATACACTTCAGATATCAGCTGACAGTTTCCTACTGTTTTTATCACTGGATCGGAGAGGTCATTTCTAAACACATATACATATATAGTTCTAAAGACATATACAGATGTGGTATAAGTGACGTGACTTTTATACTAACCGGGAATCAGCTGATCACGGATATGGAAATTTCCACCTTGAGACGAAAATATAATTTGTTTAGATGAAGTAAAGCAATTGTCAATCTAAATTACTAAGCAAATTAAGCAGAGTTTAGACTGGGTTTAATCAGATTTAAATAAAGAGTTTGTTCTCATGGGAGCTGGGGCGGCTGATGCATAAGCGGCCATAAATAGTAGTAAACTTTTGGCGTTCTTACACTAGGAATTAATAATGTTAATAGATTAGATTTCCTAACACAATATTTCTATATTACTGTGTTAGAGTATTACTGTTTATTTGGGGTGTCGGAAATTTCCGGCACGGTACCAATATTTTAAATATTTTATCGAGGGGGATTCTAGCGGTAAACGATCTTTGAACGCACTCCAGATCAGCCATTCCTCCAGCTTTAAATAGGGGCTGTTAGTGTGCAAAAATATTCCACTGTAGGGAGCACTTTATATGACTCTAGGGAGTCTTAAATAGTATCTTCAATGGCATGGCATCACTTGTTTGGACGCTTCTTGTTATCCAACCACTCATTTTTCTTGCAGTTTTGACAGCAGATTTGCTGTGTCTATTAAAAGTAGGGGCTTCTGACATGAATATTCCTAAATCCTTTACATTACTTTTTCTTTTCAATAGTGTGATTTGACTTTTTATATGTGCTTTCTGCTTTGATATTTTCACTTTGTAATTGGAACGTATCTTTATTAAGCATTATGTTATTTTCTGTGGCCCATTGAAAGATGACTAATATAGGATCGAACGGTTGCTGTGCCCTATATATTGTCTACCAGCATGAAAATTCTAGTGTCATCTGCAAAGCATGATATAGTACTATAGTTTGTATCCTAGTCTATGTCTGATATGAGGATGAGAAAAAGTACAGGAGCCAGTACGGTACCTTGAGACACAGAGCTTTTCATGATGGAGGATTAAGATTTCAGATGATTGTGGTGTGCAGAAGCTAATCAAATTATGCAACTAACTCATCGCGTATGTTGCTTAACCGAGAGATTCTATTTATGTGTATTCTCGAACCCATTGTTATACTAATAATATACACTGAATTGTGTAACTAGCTTTTCAAGACTTGCTTAACTATTTAAATAAAATTTCGGGTTCAGTTCCTAAGGCCATTATGGGGCTCTAATATTTTCTACAACTGCTCACATGATGGTTATGGGGTCCCCTTCTGCCCACATGATGGTTATGGGGTCCCCTTCTGCCCACATGATGGTTATGGGGTCCCCTTCTGCCCACATGATGGTTATGGGGTCCCCTTCTGCCCATATGATGGTTATGGGGTCCCCTTCTGCCCACATGATGGTTATGGGGTCCCCTTCTGCCCACATGATGGTTATGGGGTCCCCTTCTGCCCATATGATGGTTATGGGGTCCCCTTCTGCCCACATGATGGTTATGGGGTCCCCTTCTGCCTACATGATGGTTATGGGGTCCCCTTCTGCCCACATGATGGTTATGGGGTCCCCTTCTGCCCACATAATGGTTATGGGGTCCCCTTCTGCCCACATGATGGTTATGGGGTCCCCTTCTGCCCACATGATGGTTATGGGGTCCCCTTCTGCCCACATGATGGTTATGGGGTCCCCTTCTGCCCACATGATGGTTATGGGGTCCCCTTCTGCCCACATGATGGTTATGGGGTCCCCTTCTGCCCACATGATGGTTATGGGGTCCCCTTCTGCCCACATGATGGTTATGGGGTCCCCTTCTGCCCACATAATGGTTATGGGGTCCCCTTCTGCCCACATGATGATTATTGGGTCCACTACTGCCCACAGGATGGATATGGGTGTATAATAAATTAACTAATTGTTGTACTAGCATCTGCTCTAGATTTGTCTATTGAAAATGCAGGGGACACTCGACCTTTTTTTTATTTTTATTTTCCAAAGCTTTATTGATGCTCATTAATAGTTTGTTTTAAGTGTCATTGACTCGATTGCTAACAATTGTTTACTAATATTCTTTTCAAGTCTAAATTTGTTTAAATGTGAGCTCATTGTTCAGAGTTTTATCCAGGCAATAGTTTCCACACAATGTTTAAACCATTCATTTGCACTCTTACTTAAAATTGCCGTAACCTATATTCATACTACCTGAGTGCCTTGCCATAGAGAACAATGTTAGAGGAAGCTGCAGGACTATTTATCCATACCAGGCATATCCTGTTGGTTCATATGATGCAGCTAATGTTGGGTTCATATGAGGCAGCTCCTATTGGCTCATACCAGGCAGCTCCTATATATACCTAGTCCAACTTATTCGTATATATATATATATATATATATATATATATATATATATATATATATATATATATATATATATATATACATATATAAATATATATATATATATATATATAATGTATATTCAGTATAATACTGTAAATATAATATACAAGCTACACCTGAAACAATCAGCCCTTCCCATAAACTCCCCTTTGTTGCCCTCTCCACAAGCTCGCCGTTGATGCCTCCCCCCCCCCCACACACACTCACCAATGATGCCTTCTCCCCCACACACTCACCAATGATGCCTTCTCCCACACACACTCACCAATGATTCCTTCTCTCCCACACACTCACCAATGATGCCTTCTCCCCCACACACTCACCAATGATGCCTCTCCCCCACACACTCACCAATGATTCCTTCTCTCCCACACACTCACCAATGATGCCTTCTCCCCCACACACTCACCAATGATGCCTTCTCTCCCACACACTCACCAATGATGCCTTCTCCCCCACACACTCACCAATGATGCCTTCTCTCCCACACACTCACCAATGATGCCTTCTCCCTCACACACTCACCAATGATGCCTTCTCTCCCACACACTCACCAATGATGCCTTCTCCCCCACACACTCACCAATGATGCCTTCTCTCCCACACACTCACCAATGATGCCTTCTCCCCCACACACTCACCAATGATGCCTTCTCTCCCACACACTCACCAATGATGCCTTCTCTCCCACACACTCACCAATGATGCCTTCTCTCCCACACACTCACCAATGATGCCTTCTCTCCCACACACTCACCAATGATGCCTTCTCTCCCACACACTCACCAATGATGCCTTCTCTCCCACACACTCACCAATGATGCCTTCTCTCCCACACACTCACCAATGATGCCTTCTCTCCCACACACTCACCAATGATGCCTTCTCCCTCACACACTCACCAATGATGCCTTCTCCCTCACACACTCACCAATGATGCCTTCTCTCCCACACACTCACCAATGATGCCTTCTCCCCCACACACTCACCAATGATGCCTTCTCCCCCACACACTCACCAATGATGCCTTCTCTCCCACACACTCACCAATGATGCCTTCTCTCCCACACACTCACCAATGATGCCTTCTCTCCCACACACTCACCAATGATGCCTTCTCTCCCACACACTCACCAATGATGCCTTCTCTCCCACACACTCACCAATGATGCCTTCTCTCCCACACACTCACCAATGATGCCTTCTCTCCCACACACTCACCAATGATGCCTTCTCTCCCACACACTCACCAATGATGCCTTCTCTCCCACACACTCACCAATGATGCCTTCTCCCCACACACTCACCAATGATGCCCTTCTGCCCCCACACACTCACCAATGATGCCTTCTCCCCCACACACTCACCAATGATGCCTTCTCTCCCACACACTCACCAATGATGCCTTCTCCCCCACACACTCACCAATGATGCCTTCTCTCCCACACACTCACCAATGATGCCTTCTCTCCCACACACTCACCAATGATGCCTTCTCTCCCACACACTCACCAATGATGCCTTCTCTCCCACACACTCACCAATGATGCCTTCTCTCCCACACACTCACCAATGATGCCTTCTCCCCCACACACTCACCAGTGATGCCTTCTCTCCCACACACTCACCAATGATGCCTTCTCCCCCACACACTCACCAATGATGCCTTCTCTCCCACACACTCACCAATGATGCCTTCTCTCCCACACACTCACCAGTGATGCCTTCTCCCCCACACACTCACCAATGATGCCTTCTCCCCCACACACTCACCAATGATTCCTTCTCTCCCACACACTCACCAGTGATGCCTTCTCTCCCACACACTCACCAATGATTCCTTCTCCCCCACACACTCACCAGTGATGCCTTCTCTCCCACACACTCACCAATGATGCCTTCTCCCCCACACACTCACCAATGATGCCTTCTCCCCCACACACTCACCAATGATGCCTTCTCCCCCACACACTCACCAATGATGCCTTCTCCCCCACACACTCACCAATGATGCCTTCTCCCCCACACACTCACCAATGATGCCTTCTCCCTCACACACTCACCAATGATGCCTTCTCCCCCGCACACTCACCAATGATGCCTTCTCTCCCACACACTCACCAATGATGCCTTCTCTCCCACACACTCACCAATGATGCCTTCTCCCCCGCACACTCACCAATGATGCCTTCTCCCCCACACACTCACCAATGATGCCTTCTCCCCCACACACTCACCAATGATGCCTTCTCTCCCACACACTCACCAATGATGCCTTCTCTCCCACACACTCACCAATGATGCCTTCTCCCCCACACACTCACCAATGATGCCTTCTCCCCCACACACTCACCAGTGATGCCTTCTCTCCCACACACTCACCAATGATGCCTTCTCCCCCACACACTCACCAATGATGCCTTCTCCCCCACACACTCACCAATGATGCCTTCTCTCCCACACACTCACCAATGATGCCTTCTCCCCCACACACTCACCAATGATGCCTTCTCCCCCACACACTCACCAATGATGCCTTCTCTCCCACACACTCACCAATGATGCCTTCTCCCCCACACACTCACCAATGATGCCTTCTCCCCCACACACTCACCAATGATGCCTTCTCCCCCACACACTCACCAATGATGCCTTCTCCCCCACACACTCACCAATGATGCCTTCTCCCCCACACACTCACCAATGATGCCTTCTCTCCCACACACTCACCAATGATGCCTTCTCCCCCACACACTCACCAATGATGCCTTCTCCCCCACACACTCACCAATGATGCCTTCTCCCCCACACACTCACCAATGATGCCTTCTCTCCCACACACTCACCAATGATGCCTTCTCCCCCACACACTCACCAATGATGCCTTCTCCCCCACACACTCACCAATGATGCCTTCTCTCCCACACACTCACCAATGATGCCTTCTCTCCCACACACTCACCAATGATGCCTTCTCCCCCACACACTCACCAATGATGCCTTCTCTCCCACACACTCACCAATGATGCCTTCTCCCCCACACACTCACCAATGATGCCTTCTCCCCCACACACTCACCAATGATGCCTTCTCCCCCACACACTCACCAATGATGCCTTCTCCCCCACACACTCACCAATGATGCCTTCTCCCCCACACACTCACTAATGATGCCTTCTCCCCCCCACACTCACCAATGATGCCTTCTCTCCCACACACTCACCAATGATGCCTTCTCCCCCACACACTCACCAATGATTCCTTTTCACAGACTCAGCAGTAACACACTCACCATTGTCGATGATAAACGTGACGATACTGAAGAAGGCGTCTCCACCGTCTATCTTGACCAGCTGGCCGCCTACTTGATGACAAAAGTTGTTCATCTCGGCCCAGGTGCCCGAGCCCAGCGTCTCCACCATCAAGCACGCTCCCCCGATGTCTTGGAAGGGCAGCGAACACACTGTAGTGGAGAATGGCGGCAGAGCCATCACCAGTTGGCAGCTTTTGACCCACAATAAAGGGAGTTATAGCCTGTGGGAAACTCCAAGCAACGGTCTGTTGGACCAAGTTATCACAAGTCAAGCCTTGCCTCGGGCCGGGCTTGGGAGAGTAGAAGAACTCCCAGAACCCCATCAAGACGATATTATTGGGCTGCCCCCCCCCCACCCCCCTTCCCCACCATCTCAGCGTCACCTATAGTCAGGAGCCATTTGGTTTCCTCTCGTTGGAAACAGGAAAGCTATTAGACTTATCAACGATCCTCAAAACCAAGACAAACTTTTCGAGATGCAATCCACAACAGTTGCTTAACACAGCCTCCCTGGTACTAGCCAGGTACATACATACCCTCCCTGGCACTAGGCAGGTACACACATACCCTCCCTGGCACTAGGCAGGTACACACATACCCTCCCTGGTACTAGCCAGGTACATACATACCCTCCCTGGCACTAGGCAGGTACAAGCATACCTTCCCTGGCACAAGTCAGGTACAAGCATACCTTCCCTGGTACTAGGCAGATACATACATACATACATACCCTCCCTGGTACTAGTTAGGTACAGACATACCCTCCCCAATACTTGGCAGGTACATACATACCCTACCTTGTACTAGGCAGGTATATAATACCCTCCCCGGTACTAGGCAGATACACACACACACACACCCTCCCTGGATCTAGGCAGGTATATACAAATCCCCCCCCCCCCCATGTAATGGGCGGTACAAACACACACACACTACCAGATATTAGGCGGGTACACACACACCCTCCCTGGTATTAAGCAGGTACTCACCGTTGTTAACATCACCGTCCTCCACCGTGAACTGTGTGGTGACTGAGGTCGGCACCTCACCCTCGTAACTCACCGTGGCCAGGTACGTACCATTCACCAGGTCACTGAAGGTCGCCTCGCACTCTGTACCTGCGAGGAATTGCTCACTTAATACACTACTGACTGTGTCACCTGTAAACAGCCACTGTGCCACAGGTCCTCATTGTGACACAGATGGAAGGACCCAGCAGCTGTGCCACAGGTCCTCACTGTGACACAGATGGAAGGACCTAGCAGCTGTGACACAGGTCCTCACTGTGGCACAGATGGAAGGAGCCAGCACCTGTGACACAGGTCCTCACTGTGACACAGATGGAAGGACCTAGCAGCTGTGACACAGGTCCTCACTGTGGCACAGATGGCAGGAGCCAGCACCTGTGACACAGGTCCTCACTGTGGCACAGATGGCAGACGCTGAATGTACCATTGAGAGGTCCACGGCCACCCTGCTTCCCCATACCACGGCTACCCTGCCCCCCCCTATACCAGGGCTATCATGCCCCCTATACCAGGGCTATCATGCCCCCTATACCAGGGCTATCATGCCCCCTATACCAGGGCTATCATGCCCCCTATACCAGGGCTATCATGCCCCCTATACCAGGGCTATCATGCCCCCTATACCAGGGGCTACCCTGTCCCGTATACCAGGGCTACCCTGCCCACCTATACCAAGGCTATCATGCCCCCTATACCAAGGCTATCATGCCCCCCTATACCAGGGCTACCCTGCCAACCTATATCAGGGCTACCCTGCCAACCTATACCAGGGCTACCCTGTCATCCCCAATACGAAGGCTACCTATTTCACCTATTCCAGGGCTACTCTGCCACTTACAATACCTGATCTACCCTGCCCACCTCTCATTATACCAGGGCTATCCTGCCCCCTTTACCATGGCTACCCTGCCACCCCCTATATCAAGTTTACCCTGCCACCCCCTATACCAAGTTTACCCTGCCCGCCCTATGCCAGGGATTCCACTCCCCCCCCCCCCGTTGGAAATATCCACCACTTATTTCTCATTTAACACTGATAAATCATCTTTGTGCCAATAATTATAATTTACTAACACTACTAATCAGTAGTTTATTAATATCAATTTATATCCTATTGCGACGCAATTGCCACAAATCTTTCCTAGTGTTTATGGGGTCGTGCTACCAAGCCGGCCACAGACAATAATTTCCATATATATGTAGACCCAAATCGAGTCCACTTATTTACTTTCCTTTATTAAGGATAATCATTTATTAATAAGTTTACTACATTTAGTAAATTACTGTTTACTGGAAATCATTTATTCAGCTAGATAGCTGTTCCAGTGATATTATAATACAAATTATTCTGAATTACCCGACTTTCCCAATGAGAATATACATTACCGTATAACACATTTATTTATGACATAAATATTCGTCCTACCCAGTTCCTTCCCGATTTAGAATTAAATGAATAATATAATTTATGCTCAGAGCCCCTACTGGGAGCTTTTGCGCATGCGTGTACCCGAGAGGGAAGGGGGAGGAAAGCGACTCTCGCAATTTTTTATCTACTGGGAGCAAGGTGTTCCGAAGTAGCCCAACCAAATCTTCCAATTCTACAAGCATCCGTACTTCTCCGGGTTTCAGATTGAGGGCGCAGCTTACCCAACTCACTGACACCAATTTCGGCAGGCATTTTACCTCATAATTTTATTGTTGAGCTCAGTAATATTTAGTAATGCAGGTGCTATGTCGTGATGCTGTAGGTGATATAAACCACACATGTAAGTGCTGCTTCCATCCCTTCAATTGTTTTAGATCTTGTGTTTAAATGCATGAATACTAGTTTCGAGTGGAAATTATTGAAGTTATTTATTTCAGCGTGGTGTAATTCAACTGAGGAGGCGTGTGACTGTCCCCATGATCATATGTCCCAAGGATAACTATCTCCGGGCTGGTCCCAACGTGCTATAGTGATTGGATGCATTCTACGTTCCTCTGTCACAGCAGAGAATTTTACCAGTCCTAATATGTAGATATCGTCCTTTCCGTATTGAGAGTCAATGAATTATTTCCATTTATTTGCATATTAATTATATTATATACTTGATTTACTCATTGATGTGCAATATTATTTCTACATTTCATAACTAATACATATTTCACATATATTCTATAACTAATAACTCATATTCATATTATAGTAATTTGTAGGGAATTATCTACAAGCATTATAGAATACCCCCCAAAGAATGTGGAGGGATATGGCTCTATAATTTTAATTATTATTCTACAGTCCATTACTCTAATATTCTTACGATTAATCACATTACATTATCTAGCATCTCAGAGCATCCTGTATTATTTATTATTGGAGATCCATAGGCACTGGTTCTCTGATTTATTCAATTTATACAATTAATTTATTTAAATTTAACAAATTTAACTCCAATTCTTGTTGGCAAAGGATTTGGCATTAACATAAAATATGCTCGTAGTTTTTATATTGCCTTTATACGATCTGTTGTTGATTATTATGCCTTGCATCTTCTTACTATTTCTCCTAAACAATTACAAGGCCTAGATGTAGTACAGAATGATGCCATGCGCATCATCCTGAGTTGTCTTAGAACTGTCAGAATTGTTAACATGAGAAAGGAACTAAACTTACCTTCCATTTACGAAAGAATAGTTCTACTTAGTACTATGTTTTGCGCCAAAACTTTGAAAAATAATGGTCCCCCAGCTCTATTCAAATTAAATTGAGATCCATTCTAAACAATTCTGACTGTTCCCTCAATCCGCCGCAAAAAGCTCCCTACAGTGTGTGGCTCAGTTGTTGTGCTTATAATCTTCTGAAACTGAATGTGTCTCTTAACCCTGATAAAACTGTTCACTATATTCCCCATTGGAAAGATGTGGAGGTCTCTCTACATTATACCCCTATCAGTGTAAAACAAATGTATAACACTGACATTTTGAGATGTATAACATTAGAAGCAATTGACAGTCATCTTCAAATTCTCAAACCGACTGAATCCTATGCCTTTACTGATGGCTCTGTGCAGTTAGGCACTGATAGAACAGGTTGTGCATGTGCAGTATATATAGGGAATTAAATAATCATGTCTAGTACACAGAGATTGAACAACTGGGCAAGCACGACACAGACCGACCTATTGGGCATTTATCTAGCCACTGAATACCTTAAGCTCAATGGTGGTGGAGTTATTTTCTGTGACTCTAAAAGTGCTCTGTAGTCCTTAAATAACTCATCACAATGTATGTCGGAAGTAGCTTGTAATATTAAATGGAATGTAATTTTTGCAAATGATAAGATTTGTGTGGGTCCCATCCCATGTTGGAGTTGGAAAACATGACTTTGTAGATCGATTGGAAAATGAGGCTTGCAGGAAATAAAACATTGATTATGACTTTGGACTATCTAATGCAATTATTAGAAACAAACAAATTAAAGAAATTAATTCAGATTTAGAAGTAATCTGAATTATCAGGTAAGAAATCTTACCTGAAAGCTGTAGTATTAAAAGTTATGACAAGTTTTGTAATAATAGGTATTTGCATGGTCAGCACAGTAACCGAACCAGGCAATATGATGTAGTCATTGCGCGAATTCGCCTTGGCTATAGACACATCTGGCAGGTTAGTGAGGCTGAGCCACTACTAGAATACTCAGATTGTAAACTCTGTGATAAACCTTTAATGCATTCACTAGAACACTATACTGTTGAATGTGAAACCGTAAAGGACTTTAGACCTCCTGGCCTCTTGTACCACAACTGTGTAACTATTTTATTGACTCAGGTGTTCTGGACGACATCCTAACAATTTATCTCAAATTTGCCTATCCATTTTAAAGAATGAAGAACAATTTTTATTTATATTACTTCTAAGCTGCATCACTTATGAACCCATCCTTGCCCTTGTGTGGCAGTGCACAATAGAAAGTTGTTTTCACATATCCATACATTAAAACATTGATTGTAACCATGATATGTATGTGCTTCAGCCTACAGTTTAAATATATTGTCTTATGTATGACACTGTCCTGCGTGACAGTGAATACCAGCATTATCCTCACTTTATTAAGACTATCAAAATCCTCAGATTAGGCAAAATTGTAATTAATTTTGTCAATAAAGATGTTAATAATAATAAATTAATTTATTTCTCCCACAAAGGGAGTGGTCCTTCGAAATTTAATCATCATTATTATTAGTATTCTGGAATCAGATTTCCCCACATCCTTTTTGGTCAGCTTCGTACCGGTTGAAAAATATTTAACATTAACAATTTACACTGGTTCTCAGACTAACATCCTCTATGGTCATTTGAACTTAGATAGTCTAGAGAACTAGACTATAATTAAGAACGAGTATAACTAGTAGAATATAGCCAGAAATTAGGCTATCTACAATTCATTAATCACTTAACATCCCTGATATCATTATACACTTTAATTAAGTAGTATTATTAGGTGCTAGGATATAATCATAGAATTTAGGACAGCATATCTGCCACTTACATAGAATTTATGGTAGCATATCTGCCATACGGAGAATATCTGCCACACACATATAATCATTCATAGTAGTAGGATACTTGTTATATAATCACTTCTATATACTCTATATAAATCAAAAATTATAAAAAATAAAAAACATAGCACTATCCTGAATCTGCACCATTAGCATTGTTGTATTCTATGCCAACTCATAGAAGTAACATTTAGACTGGAATTGTACTAAAATGTGTACAACTCTAGCCTAACTCACTATTCTTAGCCAACCTAGTTAGGTAGGATTACTAGTTGACTAGCAATTTTACTAGACAGTACAATCTAGTCAACATTTATTATTGTGTAAACACAAATGAGGGTTAGGACTTATCATTAATTTACACGAAGTATGTTTACCCTATCTTATTATAATTTACTGTGTACATTTTGAGTGCTACTGAAGTGTCACTACCCATCCAACGCTGATTATGATGAGCTAAGCCTAGGAAAATTCTGTAGAGACACCAAAGTAGTACTCAAATATTAATTATTTACTGTTAGGTAGGTAAACTAACCTCTACGCGGG